GTGATTCTCCTCCAAACCTCTCGCTCCACTCCTGGCTTCTCCTTGGTCCTGTCCTCAGCTTTTGCCTTTCTCAGACAGTGCCTTCTGACTACTTATTTGACTTTCAGACGGTCAAAACTTAGCTCCTTACTGATCTTTCACATGCTTTCTCCATCTCTTCTTCCTATGGCCATATGGACAACATCCACCTCAGTATCCAAACCTGCAGAGCTCGCTCATGTTAATGCTCTTGATCCCTTTACCCAAGCCACAACAAAACCATCCCGTTCTGTGCCTGCTTCCTACTGCCAACACAACATCCTTTTCTCTCTCAATAGCAAAAGTGTCCCTCATTTTGACTTGTAACAGGTGATTAGTTTGGAAATATTTGTTTATATCCAACACATGATTTTTTTTTTTTCCCCCATCTACAGTTTGCCCTTTGTCCATCAGCTTTGAACAAAAGGCATTTTTTTCTGGGGTTTAGGGTTGGGGTTTTTTGTATTTTTTTTTTCTTTCTTTCTCCCCAAAGCAGCACTAATAAATCTGAAGAAAAAAAAAATACAGCCATAAATACATTTTTAACAGCTACTGTCTACCTTGAGACAGCTATGGATATCAATACATGGTTGTAGTCCCTCTCAAGAATGCCAGCATACACACAGCCCCACAGAAAGCAGTTAATAGGGGAGTACGTCCATGCTTTCACTGATCTTCAACCATTTTACACCCTTAGCTGCTCCAGAAACAATCATTTCATACTTTATAATGAAAAAGTAAAGAGGAAGGAATTTTTATATATATTAACATACTCCATTTCATTTGAGTTACTCTCTAAATATTGGGATCAAGCAGGCACTCCTTACCTACAGGCTCCCAGTGAATCCATGTGAGCTTTGCCTCTGAACATCGCATTGCCCCTGCAGTATGGGGCTCTCAGACACAGTGAAAGAGGAGAGTGTGCGAGGGAAGAGGACTGTCTGCAATTCAGTGCTTTGCACAGAACCGCGGGCTCAAAAATATCCCGGCTTCCAGGGGGAGCGGGAAATTTGACTTGATGTAAAATGCAACCTTTCCTACTTTTAACCCAACACATTTTATGTAGCAAGAACCTAAAAAAGATGTTACCTCTTGCTTTGTTCCAGGTCTTCTTTCAACAGATTGGTTTTTCAAGGAGAGACCCCCCCAGTTGTGTCAATGGATTCCACCACTCCTGTTGGAGCTGCTGAGATACGCCTGAAGTAGCCCAGCATGGGAGTACAGCAAGGAAGGAAGACAAAACCAAACACAGGTCTGGTTACAAACCCTTTGAGCATGAAAATGAGCAAACAGGAGGACACACTCCCACTAGAATGACACAATTGTGTAAAATGGCTCAAAACATCATGCACGCTCTGACACGTCGAGCATGACAAACGTACGCATGCGCTCCACGACACACAGCACCCCAAAGTACGAGAAGGCAGCAACGGCTTTACGGGGATTACCATGAAACGTGCATGATGCCAACGCCTGGAAATCCCTCCAATGACAGACTTTTATCTGACAGTCAGTTAATAGCAGAACACTTTTTTGCACCAACAAGAAGATGCTATTTTCCAGAGCGTAATTTTCTTAACTAGGTGTTTTCATGTAAACAGAGTCTTCCATAGGATGGGGGTGGCAATTTATGCTACAGCTTTTCACTAAGGACTTTTAAGTGGTTTTGAAATACAAAACTAAAAACTGTTTCGGCTTTCTGATTTGCCTTCCGTTTTGCAGTATGTACCCATTTACTCGTAGCATTTCTGACAGAAGGAATTTCAAGAATGCAAACAGCACGATGGCAATGTAGTAGCTGATTAGCTCCACAGAAAAAGTTTCTCCAAGTTCGACTTTCGGTCAGTGCACAACATTCAGGGTACAAAAATACTCTGACAAGGAAGGTCTTCTTTCACTTTAGCTAGAATAAAAAATGGTCTTCTGCACTTTAGCTATAATAAACCGCACAAAAGCCAAAGAGAGGGAGAGAGAAAGAGAGAGAGAGAAAGATGGCAGATACACCAAGAATCTGCAGCGTAGATAATCAAACCCTTTATTGTCTAAGTTACATTAGACTTGCAACACCATAAAAACCTGTAAGAAGAGGAAACAGTAGATTGGTAGAGGTAGTAGAAAGTCCCTGTAACAGTCATAAAAGGGCTTTACAGGAGCGTGTCATGCCAAAAAAAGTTACCATGTCGCTTAAAAGAGCTGATCAAAGCCCATTGACTAAATAAATAAGGAACACAACTCATTTTAAATACTATGGCCTAACTAAAATAACAAATCAATACAATACAATGACAAAGAAGAAAAAAGAAATTGTGGGATTTGCTTCTGAAAACAGATGGTCTTTAAGGTTGGCTTTCCCCCACCCACTCTTATTTCTTGTTTAATTAAGTGAAAATCTCATTTCTGTGCTATACACAGCATATAATTATTTAAACTGATTTCCCCTACTGTTGTTCTTCATGGAGCTAAATTATGATTGTAAACTTTGCTGATTAGTACCCTGGTAATGGCAGTGACAGCACTAGCTTCTCTGTCAGAGATTCTGGAAGAAAAGCTCCAGAAAAAAGCTTTTGGCTCTAAATATTAACTCAGATTTTCTAGATCAGCTGGCAAAAAAAAAAAAAAAAAAAAAGATAAATTACAAATGTACACTACACTTTTGTGCCATTTTGGGTACAGAAGAGTTTTTAATAACTAAAACACAAACAAATAGGCTAAGCAACTAGCTTTTGTGCATTCCTGAACTGCATTACTTTCACTCATGGAAAATATGACTCAGAAAAGCAACAAAACAAAAGCGCAACAAAAAAATCCCAACCCAAACAAAACAAACCGAGAAAGCTAGTGCAAACCCAAAATGATAATCATTAAGCAACACAGCAAAATATTTCATTTTTTCTTTTTTTTCTCCTTTTTTTTTTTTTTGGTGTACAATGGAATGTGTCTATGCGACCTCCCTCAAAATAACTTCACAGAACAGTTAATTACAGTCGCTTGTAAGTATTTGCACAGACATTCCTAACTACACCGAGACTTACAGAGAATTCTGGTATACATCTGGTGTAATAGCATAAGGAAAAACTAGTTTAAAAAAAATACATAAGAAAGTTAATTTGCATTGTTGCAAGTGTTGCAAAGTAACAAAAACTGTCAAGTAATTTAAAACAAGTAACAAGTAACAAGCAGTATCCAGAACCAATTACTGACTAGATTTTTTTTTAAAAAAGCAACCCCCCCCGCCCGCCAAAACTGTTAGAACAGAAAGATCACGCTTTAAGTTTTTTTCTGGGTTTTTTTTTTTTTTTTTAAACAAATCTTTGTGTCAGAAGCCCATTTCTACAAAAACAGCACTATTTCATTATTGTATTAAGTAAACTGTTGCTCTCACCTGTATTAAAGGTTAGGATCATTTCTGTACATGTAAAATTATTGCTTTTTTGAAAAATATATTTAGCATGCTAGGGTTTTTTTTTTAATCCATTTCCTGCCTTTACAAAATGTTACAATTTAAAAAAAACCTAGTAAAGCTTTTGCAAAAATTTTCACAGAACATTTTCTTTCAAGGCAGCAGTAACTTTTGATAATGCATAAAATTATATGTGCAAAATCTGAAACTCTCAGAAATATTACCATCACACATAGTGTCACAGCAATAAGAAAAGAAAATATTTATATCTGTGGAATACATTTTTAATTGCTTACACTGCATGGTTTAACAACCTGTTATGTGCCACAACCCACCTTGAAAACTTGCAGTTAAAGAGTTACGGTAGAAGAGGTATATAAAGTTTTTTTTTTTTTTTGCTTTTTTTTTTTTCCTAACACCACCAGTGATCACCAAGTACAAGACATGACACATTTATATGAACATTAACCTGCCACCACAAAAGAAGCTCCTCGTCTTTCCAAAACGTCACTGGACCCAGGGAGAAGCGGTGAACCTGCTGAACCAAATGCAGGAGCAGAGAGTACTTGACGGGCCCAGGGCTGCCTGAACTTGTTCAGTGGCACCTTTTCTCTTCTAAAGACACAGATCAGCGGCGTTAGACAGCTGAGCGCTTTATTATTATTTTTTTTTTCTAAACATGAAGACTTCCTTTGTGATCAGGTCGAAGAAAGTAGCCCTGTTACAAAAAAGGTCCTGAGAGTAAAACACAGAAGCCTGTTGGGTTTTTTTTTTCTTAGTGTTCGACTAGCTTTTCTTTTCCAAAGCAGAATAGAAGCTTTTCTCTGGAAGTGTTTCAATTTCCATATTCACATACTATTAATGGTGCGCAGTCAAGAGCGAGAGCACTAGAAATGCAAGTGGTCCCCAAACTGTAATGAAACAAACCATTGCAGAATGACGGTCTTTCTCTTTAGTCCCTTTAATCCTTCATCAAGCATTGCTTTCTCAGCACCGAATGCCACCTTTTCCCCGCACCCCCCCTTCTTCCTCTCTCTCTCTGTTTTGTTTTTTAATTTGCTTTTCAGCATGACAGGCAGTGGCAGTTTCATTAATTAATACTTCTCCAGCCCTCGAATCCACTGCTGTTTTTCAAATGTATCAAATAGTCATTGTGAGCATCAGGGAGGTTTTTGTTACAGTGCTTAACTTCTTCATGCTGTCCAAATCACATAAAGTTTAATTTTTCCAGTGTCTCAAACTTCTCTTGATTAATATAGATGCCTTGTGCTGCCACAGTGCTTGCCAACTCCACTGTTTATTATAAAGGAAATAAGGAACCATGGGACTGATTAGTACGTCAATTTATATATATCTTGTGTAGCATCTTCATTTATTTTAAAATGATTAACAGCGCAGAGGCACCCCCCTCCTCGCAGAGCGCTGGTTTCAGTCCTGCGCAGCGGCTGCGGGCGAGGCGAGGCAATGGCTGGCAGGGAGGCAGCCTGGTAGCCGCCGGGGCACAGGGTGGCTGCGTGGGGGGCTGCCGGCGTTGCCCGTCGGGGTGGGGGCCGCTGGCCCAGGGGGCTCCTCCGCCGGGGCTCTAGGTTCCCTTCCGGAGAGGCAGCGTGTGGGCGACCTCCGCACCGCCGTGGTCTCTCCCCTGCAAGAAGGACGACACAGGGAAAAAGCTGATTCTCGCCTCTGCTCCCAGGCGCAACCCTCCAAGCAAGCCCTGCTGGCGTTCATTACCCTTTAGTAGCACCACGTACGTTCATTTTTGGCCCACCGCATCGGAAGTTTTGGGGGTATTTTTAATCACCTCCAGCAAGACAAAGTGTGTCAGGGCCCATATAAAGTCCCCGATGGACCAGAAAAGCAAGTAATAGTGTGCGATGGAGCAGTTCGGAGAAGGCTGAGAGGACAAGGAGGGGAAGAAGAGGCCTCCAAAAAGCAGAATTTTGAGCTAGCCCAAAGGGATTCATAACTACCTCAGCGTTTTAATAAGGCTGAAGTTTGAGGTCACGGAGGCAGCTAAAAGAAGAAAAACTGAATTCTTGCGCAGGTCTGTCAAATGCTAAGGCGGATTTTTTCCCCCCTTGTCATCTTCCTTTTATATTTTTTTTTAGCCAATTTTCATGAATAATTACCATGTTGAAAAAAAATAGCAGGGATATTCTAAAATCAAGTGAAATTAAAGATAACATCATGAATAAGTGGGAGCCTGCAGCTCCCAAGAAAAGCTTTAAAATGACATTTAGAACATCACTGTCGGAACAATGCAGTTTACAATCCTGATCCTAAAACAACATGGCAAGATTAATCTTACATAAATGCATTATCCTTAAGCTAAAGTCTTGATGAAGTGAAACAGACCATTTTAAATTAATGCAACATAAAATACAGCACCCATGTAAAATCCAAGCAAGTTTCAAGCTGTGCCTATGGCAGCCCTCGAAATAGCTAAAGAAAGCCCAGCTCTGGTTGACATAATGTATTAAGTGCATCTCTTTTGTTAATAGATTTAGAAAATTCCTAATTAAACCTGGCCCGAGATTCATGACATTTACCAGTCAAAGTTTGGTTTAAGTCAGAAAGATTTGCAACAAAATTAAAGAAAAAAAAAGCTGCTGTACAGATGGCAGTATATTTGAAATGTAGGAAACAGTAACTGAATGAGAGATGTGATAAAACTTCCTTAGTTGGATGCTGAATTTCCTGCAGTAAACCAAGAAAGATGCTTTACATTTTTGCGCGGCTGCATCATGCCTGAGAGACAGAGCCACAATTCCAGGAGGAGACATTCATCATTAAAACGTCTCGTATCGAACCGGCTCTACGTACACGGGGGAGCGTGGCAGGGTTTCGCCGAGCCGGGGGGGAGAAGGGAAGGGAGGGAGGAGAGGGGATGGCAGGCACCTCGCCCCAGTTTCCCTGGCTAAGAACTGAAAAAAAGGGGGTGTCATTAGGGGCGCTTTTTGGGGATGGATAGCCTGCGGGGTGCTGGGAGGCAGAGGGATGCCCTGAAGGTCCAGGCACCACCCGCCCATGGACCCGTGCAAAGGGGTAATCCATCCTCCTCCCACCTGGCAGAGGTGCCAGAGGGGACGGGGACAGTGGGACCCATCTGATGCACGGCTGTGCTCCCAGTTTCACTGGGAAACGGCACCTGAGCTTCACATGTGCCAAAACCCACCCCGTGGCTCATCCCCCTGTAGTCCCACCGGCCCCAAGGGGGCAGTCAGATTTTGAACCAGCTGACACACAGAAAACTTTCACCAGTTTAGAAAGTAGGCTTTCTTCACTTTCAGCATTTTAAAGGGGAAAAAGAACAGATCTTTTTTTAAGTGGAACCTATAGCTCCCATGCCAAAAGCTGCTTTCATACCAACTTCTAGGGCTTTTCACCAGTTAACAGGAAAAAAAAAAAAAATCAGTTTGTGTGTGTGTTAACATATTGGAGACAGATTATCGCATGACACTGAAATAAATTGCAGTGATCGGTTTGGAGCACAGATACCGCTCCAGTTTGCTGGCAAGGGGAAAGTGCTGGGACAAGAACTGCAGCTGCTAATCCTGCCTATAACGCTCATAAACTAGCGGACATACGGTACATGCATATTACTCAGATGCCGGTACAGCAGCCTCCATGATTCCTTGATTGTTTGCATTATAATCTCCATATGTATGAACGAGACAAATTAGGTTGCCATTTATTTGTTCATTATCTATTATTTTGATTAATGGAATTCTTGTTCTCAGAATAACTATTTAAAAATAACATTTGCAATAATGAGGACTGAACTATTAATCATGATCTTTAGCAGAAACTCTGCAAGGAACTGGGGCAAGGCATTTCATATGAACAAATGTCATAAATAGGACAGACAGTGCTAAAATTTCAAATGCAAAAAAAAAAAAAACCAACCCAAAACACCAAAACCAAAACCAACCAAACTCAGAAACCAATGGTTTAAATAATTTTTTAATCTGTTTGTATTTTTTTGCTCCTTCCCTCCAAAGTTGCTTTAGGACAAGCAGGGCTGTACTGTTGCTGGACTGTAAGAACATTAGAGGTAACAGACACCCCCAGCCTTTCCCCCAAGCTCCTTTACAACATACGTGTACATATATAGTGTTTTCTTGATGGTTCTTTCCAATCTGTCTGTCCCCCAAATTCTCACTATTCACATTTATTCTATCTCAAGTATTGAACACGGCAAGAAATATTTTAAAATACTTATAGTGGAGCAAATTAAGGCTTATGGACTCCTTAACGAAGGTGGTTAACCCCTGTCACACAGGATCTACTCCTACACCTCTCTTTTCAGTGAATGAAGCCCAAGAACTGTGGTGTCCATAGCTCTTTCACACAAAAGGACCTTCTGGCATGGGGAAAACTTCAGCCAGAGATAGCCATGATACCAACAGTTCGGGTTTTTTTCTGGGCTGTAGCTTTTAAATGATTTTCTGTGAGTAAAAGGGTGTTTTACCAGAGAGGGCAAAGGTAAAGGTTGGAGTTTTGGGGGTTTTGTTTGTTTCACTCACACAAAAGGCAAAGAACTTGGTGTCCCTGGCTTCAGCACTGCTAATACGCTTCACGTATTCTCAATTAGACAGAACTCTTCCTCGTTGCTAACCAGTAAATCGTGCCTTTTGAACACCCAATTACTTGTCCCTGAACATTTTCAGAGCATACTGTAGCACTGATAGAGGATAAACTATATTCCTAAAGCAGGCCAAGTTTTTATGTTTTTTTTTTTTAAAAACGCAGCAGCAGAAGTTAAACACAAGGCATATGTATTAGAAACTGCTACCTCCGCTCTCACCATTTTACAAAAGCAGGCTAGAGACTGCCTCCTGTGCCACTGAACGCACTTGGGAATTGGGCTTCTGGCTGCAATGCTGCAGCATCAGGCAGCGTCTCCGAAACGACCCCATGCTCTAGGAGAGCTTTGCTTTGAGAGCTGCAGCAGCTTCAAGATACACACGGTATCACGGACCCTTCCGAAGGGGAGCCAGTTTTTGTCTTGCCACATATAAGCAATAGGAGTGCACTCCCTGAATTCATGCCTACTAAATCAGGTCTTTGGATGCTGCTTAGTGTAATCCAAATTAAGATACATATTCATTGTGGATAAGCAAGTTTAATTATGGATATATTGGGATATTTAGCATTTATAAAAATATTCAGAATATTCAGTATGTTTAATATGGCAGCATTTCAAGAGAATCTACATGACTTTGCACAGATTGTATTGACTCGGGGTATGTAATAAGCATTTTTTGTCCTTTAGACACAGAAGAGTAGGAAATATTCCAGGGTTCATGGGAAATTCATTTGATGTAAAAATGTCCTTTGCTTTTTTTTTTTTTTAAACATTCAGGTAGAAAGAAGTAAGAAACGACAGTAAATAATGTTATGAAGCGAACGAACATCTTATTTCCTACGTTTTGTTTATATTTCATTGGTGTTGATAACAAAGTATGAAACACAGCCCAGTGCTAATATTATCAAAACTGGATGTGTATGGTCTTCTTTACACACCCCTATAGGTGGCCTGCTTCTCAGTGACGCTGAACACCTGCATCTCCTATTAATGGTTCACTACCATAAAGTAGGTTTCCCATTTAGACAGGTAAATATAGATTTAGCTGGCTCATTTTTAAAAGCCTGGCTGTAGACTCTATTTTTAAGATGCGGAATTAGAATTATTCCGTAAAAAAAAAAGCTATATAATGTAGCACTGTTGTAAGCTACTATGCTGGGGGATTTTAAAAGCCTTACCTAACATTCTTTCATAAAGGAAACCTTTAGAGATGATCTTCTGGTTGACTACTGAAGGGAATGAGGGAACTGTGAAATACTAATGTTAATATTTTTACTCTTTAGCAGACTACTCGGGGGAAGATATTTTACCTGTGAGGAGGAAACATTATGTAAAGTGAATAATTTCCACCTAACATTAAAAAAAACCCCTTTCATTCTCAAGCTACCGTATGTGGTAACTATTGTTTCTTGCTCGGAGCATGGCACTTGTGTAACTTGAACTGACTTTACACTGTAAACTCTCATGAATAGATCTGTCCCCAATTAAGAAATGAAATGAAGACACAGAGTGACAACGTTTAAAGTGGGAAATCATAATGTTACCAGAATGCTGCAGGCATCGTTCTCAGTGCGAGCTCTTTTCTGCGCTTCTGAAGGCCCCTACAGCTGCAGGTAGAAATGAGTGTATTCCCCCTCTAACGCCCAGGGACTGCGCAGGTGGAGTCTTCTGGGGGAGCGCAAAGCCTGCTCGCGATGAGAACAAGCAAAACGGCAGACAACTGAATAATCCCTACCGACACAGACGCTGACAAACTGAGACAAAGGCTGATACTGAGGAACAAACAAGACAAAAGAAAGGGAACTATCTCCTGGAGAAGCAATCGTACTGCAGCTTCTGTGGAAGAAATAGTGACTGGCATGAGACAAAGCTATTCATGAAGCTAAGCCCTACCCAGTATTCTGCCGTATTGAGAGATGCTGTAATTTAATCAAATACTTTGAAGACAGATTGACACGGACTGAGACTGCAAGAGCAAACTACGTTTGCCGTGAAGAAGTTAGTCAATAAATTCTGGCATGGGAGTAGTTTACAAAGACAAGATTATGAGTAAATTTATTGTACAGTAATATAACCCAAATTACAAAAAATGTCCAGATGTGGACTTTGCTCCCACATCTCTTTTTGGATAAATACAGCCATTTCAGAATTTTTTGGAAATGTATTTCCAACTTTGACCTTACATTGGCTTTTAGAGGAAAAAAGCCCAGGTGCCTTCAGAATCTGATCTCAACTACACATAAGATAAAACCATAAGCATGAAAAGATGAAAGAGCATTTTAAAGATGCTTAGGTTTACTAAATCTACATTACTAAACCAATGAGGACCAAAGACCAGTTGAGCTAGTTTGCAGAGCTTCTGTGCTTCACTCTGTCACATATTTCTGCTGTGCGGTATGTCCTTGCACAATTTTTTTAGACAAGCATCATAAGGAGAGCACTTTCATCTAGTTCTCCAACTATAGCATAACTTTGCGGCTACTGTCCCAAAAAAGCAAAGCAAACGTTGCCCACAACAACAACTAGTGAAGTGCTACGTCATCTTGAAAACTTCATGAAGAGAGTTGTTGGCCACTCCTATGGCCTGACGGCAACTTAGATATACTCCTGTGGCAGCAGCTGGGTTCCCCACATCGCCTTTGGGCCAGAAAGACAGAAGTGCAACAGAGAAGGTGCTAAGAGTCTCCATGAAGGCTGCAGAATATGAACTATGCGATGTGGTGGTGCCCAGTGAGGATGTTTATTGAGCGAGTAGAAATCAACTCCTAAACTTCACGAAGGCGGAACTAGCATGGAGATGCACTCTCTAAGCATGGTGAAACCATCTGCAATTGTTTAGTAAAAGACAGGAGGACAGGAAAAGTGCTGCAGTCAAAATTAAACTAAAAACGTGGATGAAAGGAAAAGTGAGTGATGCTGAAGGCAGCTTCACAATGAAAGAAAACTGTCCCTGTGAAGGCATGCCCTGACACGCACCTGACAAGCTGGAAGAGGGGAGTGGGAAAGTCCAGGTTATGACACTGGTCTCCAAAGACGTAAGATACACGAAACAAATTCAGTTTAATGGTTTTCTATGTAACAGCTTTGTCATGTATAATTCAGAGTGCCGAGAAGTGAGTCCACAGAAACTGGAGGATGAGAGCCTTTCAAAGGCCAGATATTGGATATCAGGGTATGAATACTCTTCAGAAAAACACAGCCTAAGCATTAATTGTACTGTTGGAGCAGAAAATGTGTCAGTTGTAAAAGCAAATTATTTCTAGGAATTCTTTATGTACTGTCTTACTACTACATATCACTGTGCATTACAGAGTTACCTATCCCACCCAGTCCCCAGTAAGCTGGTAACATGTTTATTTAAACACTAACTACCTGCTCTACAATTAACTGACTCTCTATATAACAGACTTTGATAAAACGCTTAAAAAATTTAAGAGCTAAAAATCAAGCAACACCGTTATTATTTATACATGTTATAAAACAGTCAGCGCTTTAGTGATGAGTATCACTCTGCAACTTTTTCCCAGCCACCACATTAAAAACCAAACATCCAATTAATTGTAAAACATACTTGTTTTGGGGCATCTGCGGAGGTGGTGTGAACTTCAGTACCTCGGAGTCCATTAGACTCAAATACCACTGTGGGAACAAGGGGGCTTGTTAACAGATGAACATTCAAGCTTCGTTAGTGTGTGTACATTATTTGAGACCATTACAGATTAACCACGTTCAAAAAAAGACACCAGCTACTAGCCTGTGGCCGGAAAATACCAATTTACCGTAACACTTACTGTAAGAGAGTGTGCTAATGGCAGCCTAGGGCCACTGCCCTTTTTAATTCAGACTTCGGCGCTGAAGAAAGCAATCACTGACAACATTAATTATCAGTGCATGTGTAAAGGGACCCTCTTCTTGCATTACTTACCATTTGGCCTCTGTCATTTTGCATCAGACTGGCTTATGTATGCATCATTCACACTTTTCAGGAGGAACCCGCTAGTCTCACTGTCTCGTGCAATGCTCAGGAGGTCTCTCGACACCAGTGGCTTTAGCCTCCTACAGCCTCCACCACAGACCAGGCGAGGTTAAAAATGGCTGGTGGGGATTTCCCATTTTAGGGCTGACCGGTCTGCGGAAAAATCTCGTTTCCCCGCAAAAATGTTCCTGTCAACAGCAATGATGAGGCAAAACAAAGCCTTATGTTGTGCTGAAAGGGGTACTTTGATTTCAATTTGTGCTGGTGGCAACAGAATTCATTAGCATATTCATTTCTGAGTACCCTACTCTCTAATTAAAATAAAACATTTGCAAACAGACTTATCTTAAATGCATTGCAATTTTATGGAGTTCGGGCGGGGATCAGGTAAGCAATATCCGGCGAACAAGAGCAATAGTCATAAAAATAAAAAACCTGTCTATTACATTTAGGTCCTGGAATTACTTAGGTTAGCATGGTATGCGAAACTCAGTTCTTGGCATTTTGTTAGCCGGATCCGAAGGCAGGCAAGCGGGAAAGAGAGGAAGCAAGAGCGAGTGTGAAAAGGTACCTGCGTGGGACCTCTGATGAGTCCTGAGGTGACTGGGTTGGGTAAAGCATTTTCCACATTCTCTGCAGACGCAGTCTCCTTGGCGTGTTTGTGTCCTGAGCATCCCTGTAGTCGGGAGAGAGGAGGGGGTGGGGGGGGAGAGGAGAGAGGAAAGTTGAGAAGAAAACATTATGCCAGAAGAAAACATCATTAGTATGTCTAATGTGTCATTATGTGAGGCTACCTTCAGGCCCTGGATGACAACTGTCAGCCTTCATCTAGGCACTGGCTGACAGGCCAGGCACACACAGGACTGCAAGAATGCATAAATTACATTGAATTAAAAAATGCTCCCCATGATGTGCCCGCACCAGGACTGGCATGTCAGGTGTGCGCTTTTCAGAGCAGCTGGATCCACTTCTCAGCCATCACCCAGCTTTGTCAAGCAGTACATCAGGCAAATCAAAGTGACTCCAGCGTGGCGGAGACAAGTCACATGGATAATAGGAAGTGAGTAGGACCAGAGCCCGACTGTCCCCCCCGGGCTGCAATACCTCAGAGACAAATGCAGAGCGAGCGGAGCCATCACAGACTGATCAAACCTTTCGCCCCTGCCTACCTGCCTGCCGGTGCTGCTTTGACCCCGGACCTCTGAGGCACAGACGAAAGACATCTGTGAATGAAAGTGTCATTCCGGACATTTTGAGCTGGTAGCAGCACGGCAGCCTTCCCCCGGCCCTGGGTAAACATGTTTTCTAGGCCATTAGCATTTGTGGAAAACCGCTCAAACCTCTCCTTTTTCTCCAAAGGTCAGTTTACAGCATCTGACTTAAAGGGCTGGTCTTTGTCTTTTTGCTGCTGATCAAAAAAGACATATTTGACTTTTATTGGGCTTTTTTATTATTAAAAAAAAAAAAACGAAACAAAAAACAAAAAACAAAACACGTTTGAACATCATTTTTTCTATTTTGGTAAAACGCCCTCCTCGGAAGGGAAGAGTTGATGTTTCCATTTGCCACTGGAATACTTTGGCTTTTAAAGAGATTCTCATGGGGTTGTCAGCAGAAGTGAATTTTCAGCTTTTCCTTCACACGCCCCCACCCCACCCCCCATTACAGCATTTAAAAATAATAAAATTGTAAACAAAAAAGCTGTAACAAAAAAACCAACCCACAATTCAAAAAAATCAACTGCAGGGTGCCAGAGGGCTCAGCCGAAATACAGATGCTGTACCTGAAAACCAATGGAAAAGAAGATGGGCCGCCATTTACCCTGCTGGTATGGCACCAACCATCCTGCAATGGCTTTTACTGCAGCATATATTGAAAAGAAATATCTGTCTACAAAAAAAAAAACCCAAAACACCAAAACCACAAAAAAAACCCAAACCACTCACAAATAGTTTTCTCTTTTTATAATAGCACCTCCTGCAGATGGCAGCACAGTCTGTATAATGTAGCTGAACACACACTCCCAACAACTTAGTTCCTGGCAGTCAAACACAAGATCACAATTTAGGGGCAAATCTAGATCACATACACCCACCCACACAAAAGGAAAAAGAAAAAAAAAAAATCACATAAATTTCAGTGAGAGCTTCACCGTACTAAAATGAGACACATTTGCCTTGTAAGGCAGTCAAGATTAAAGCAGGTTTTCTGGTCTGTTACTAGCATTTTCCCCTCAGTGGCTAGAACTACAGCTGCAAGCTCAAAAGCAAAGCTGTTGAAGGACCAGACGTGGCCTTTGCCGGCCTGGTGTGCTGACCGCCGCGCAGGCAGGGACAGGCAGAGCAGGGCTCTGCTACCAGCAGCGTGGCTCCCGTGAAGTCCAGGAGACCTGGGTTCCTCAGGTGGTTTTCTGCCACCTCTGGAAGGACATATAATCTCTCTATACCCCAAGTCTCCCTCTGTGAATGAAAGGGGAATACGCTTGTCTCGTTAGCCATTACAGGCCTGATGCGACAGCCTTCACGGTAGCACTGCTCCCACTTGAGTCGTGCACGAGGGAAGGTTGAGAATGCTGTTGTAAGCCAGTGCACCCTGTACAAACTCCGAAGGTGAGTGGGTTAGGACTTTCATCTAACCCCTCACTGGCACTCACTTTATTAAAAAGCACTCACTTATTTAAAAAGCAGGTGGAAAAAATGGATTGCTTCCAGGTATATTTGCCATTGTTGCATTTCCTAAGGAGCACCATAAGGCTTTTCATAGTTCAGAGCTTTGAGCGATGGGCATCCTTGCTGCAAGGCAATACCCCTGTGAGTCATCACTCAGGTTATCCTATATGTGAACAAAAGAGGGCGGATGACTACAGGTGTTAGAAAATTAAGGTAAATGAACGTGACTATCTGAATGGGAGCTCCTGCAAAACCATCTGAATGGGAGCTCCTGCAAAACTGATGCTCAAAGATGGTCTCAAAGGAGCCCCAGGAAAAGAGTGCATCTGCTGCCATAACCCATCCTTTCCTAATATGGCGATTCATATAAATATCATGAATAAAATAAATAACCACTATTAAATATAACAATAAGATTCTCTCCACAAACGTTTGGGAAGAGGGCAGCGTGAAACAAACATAGCCTAAGCACAGCAAGCTCTGTGTTTGCAGCTGTATCACAACGGTACGTACAACAACTCTCTTTTCCAAGGACACACTGGAATAAACACAAATGTAAGAGAAAGGATCCCAGAAATAAATCCAGCCACTCTAAAGAAGCTGAACACCACACTGCCACACACTAAATATTCTAGTATGATCCAAGATGAGGCCATATACACAACACCTAAGTAAAACCTACTGGGAACATTCAATTGGAGAAAAAAAGTGACAAATAATATACCTACGTGGGATTTTTGGTTGTCCTTTATGTCACGACTGCCATACTCACATTGCCGTATTAAGACTACATTGTATGATGCACACTGACTCAGAGGGCTCAGTCTAGGGGCATGTGTTATTTCAGACAAGGTTCATTTACCCTTCTCTATTTGCAGTTGGTTAGGATCGCGTTCCTTTTGCCTGTAGCAGCTTTTTATTTTAGTGCTATGAAAAACAGCCATCATGCCAATTGGTTTGGAGAACCATCAACAACCTGGAAGTTGTATATAAAATGAAGACAAGCAACATAAAAAAAAGAGGTTTCAAATTCTGAAAACTTGATTGCTATAAAACACTTGGAATGAAAGAAGAGATTTCAAAGCAGAGATGGGCACTAAATAACTTTCAGTTAAAGTGTGGCTGGAAATCACTGCCCAGCAAAAACACTTTGGCAATAAAATCCCTCTTTTGAAAAGCAGGTAAATAGCGACCTCCTTGGAAACCCTGCCCCTACTTTACTTTGCCCCTGTGGTCCTTGTGGTTTTTCTGCATTCACTAAGCCAGCTTCTAGTTCCTGGCTTAGGAACACGGCTTAACATGGATAGGAGCTCACTGGATCAGTAAGACTTCTCTGAGCAGGTTGACACAATGTAGTATTAGATAACATCAAGGAAGGCACCCATGTGAAGGTACCCCAAGTTGACGGTGCAACAATTAAGCGGTATTTAGAGCAGGAAGAGGGCACGGAGAAACTTTAGACAGCATTCTTAGGCACTGGGATGGCAAAAGCAAAGCTGGCTGGACAAAACCAGGAACACTGACCCTGTGGTTTTAGAAACCCAGCATGTCCTCCTCTGCTTCCTTAACAAAACCCAGGAGTCTGCTGCTCGTTACAGTCATCACACAGCCTCTAGCCACCTGTGCAACAACCTACTCAATAGAAACAAGTAACAGTCGGCTCCTACGCAGCATTACTTTTTAAACGATTGAGCAAAACTGACAATGGAGTGGCCGAGAGGTGCACCTCATGGACTATTAAAGACAGATTTTGCCCTGACCTGACCAAACACTATGGCTCTTTCCTTGCCTCTCAGCTGCCAGAGCGGTCAACTTGCACACGCCTTCTGGGCACTGGACTGTAGCTGTCCTTAAACTACCAGCTTCCAAATGCCCTGGGTTTTATCCCACTTGTGAAATGGGGTCAGAAGCTCCATTTCGCACATGCGTTCGACAAAACAGAGAGCAGTATGTCAGGTGAGGAGACAAGAACACGGGTCTGGAATACGTGCTCTTTCTATGTGGAGTTCAGTTCTTGCACAACTTCTACAAAGAGAAGAAGCATATTAAAAAACAAAAGGATAGTTTACAAACGGTGAGAGCTGCGACTATGGCTCCCGTTCTCTGCCCGCACAACTCCCCCCCCATCTAAAGAGTAATAAATCAGTGTGATTTTCAGTTTCCACTGAGACGAGCTAATTCTGGCAGATCATCAGAATGGTATGGTTTCAAATGCAAATACATAGGTTTCTCTCTTTCTTTTTTTTATTTTTTCTTTTTATGTGGCAGTTGACTGGCAAGAGGCAGAAGGAGATCTCTGATACTTTTTCAGTCCCTGAACTTTTAAACTGGCTATTTGCACAACTGTCTTTCCTGCTTATGTGAATTAGCAGGCACATATTTGGCCCTACCTCTTCTTAATTATAAACATACAAACAGATCAAAAGGATCATTTGAAAAATAAGATAGCAGTCTTTGATATGGACAAGGAAGATCTTAAGACTTTTGTCGAGAAAGACAAAGGACACTGACAAGTGATTATCTCTCTCTATTGTTGGAAGACTTGTTTGCAGATGAAATTGAACAAAACCTCCAAAATAACATCACAGATAAGCCCCAGAGGATGTTTATTTTGCCCGAAGCAAAAAGATGATGATGCGTGCCAGCACCAGCATATCAGGGGGATCTTCATGTGACAGCACATCTGTGTAACTTTAGCCTGCTCGGGGCCAGGGGACAAAGGAACAGTAATACTCCAGGTGGAACCAGATACATTTAACCTGTGACAGAAACATCACATAGTGCACAAGGCGGGATCTGCAATGTTAGAGATCAGCAAACAAACCTATTCAACCCTATCCAGAAATGATAAAAACAATGAACTTGTAATCCCAACCGTTAAAGGGAGAGAAGGAAGAAACTGTGAAACAGCATGTTGTGGCTCGGAACGAAGCGGGAACAAGCGAGACGTGTCCTCAGCTATGGAAGGGCTTGTGAAAATCTTACCTGCGTGATCCAGGACAGGGCTGTTGGCACCGCACGTTTGGTACAACGAAGCAAGGTCCTTTGGAATGTATGTTTTAAAGATATTTAAAACGTCCAAACGTTTCTCATGCCCATCTGATCCCAGATCCTGTTTGCTGGAGTGTAAAGCCGAAGAAACCACTGTGGCGCTAGGCTGGGGCTGCAGCAGTGGACTTGCTCGTGCTACCGCTGTGCAGTTTGCCAATGTCCTCATCTCATTCCCAGCCTTCGCGTGAGGCTCCCTCTGAGGCACTGACGGCTCTTCGTGTTTAGTGTACTGCTCGCTTTTACACAGAGGATGATACTGTGGTGGTGGGTTGAATTTGGCCTTCATGGCATCGGACGCACAGTGCTTACCTGGAGGGGCAAAACTAGTACTCCCCTGGGGAACCACGTACTTTTCCACTTGCTTACTGCTGGTGGGCTGTGTGCTAGGCCTGGATATGGCCGTCTGAGTAGGCGTTACGCTTCTGCTATAGGCCCCCATTTGCATAAGTTTGGAATTTGCTTCATATTTACTTTTTTGTTGTGCTGCTATGCTGTATTGCTCCTGGGAATGGTTTACCTTGGGCTGTCGGTACCCATCCAGACCTGATAAGCGTGGACCACAATGGCTGAAGGCATGACCGTCCTTTGACTGATGCGTATTCCCAGACTTCGCAGTCATCCCAACAGAAAGAGAGCTGCTTTTGGACCCTGGCAATGCACTTGGCACTTGAGTGCGTGTAAATCTGGCAACGGGCAAAGGCTGGCATTCCTTACCACCAAGTACAGGAGGGGGGCCAGTACGCCCACTCCTCGCCAGAAAGACCAGGTTGTTTTTAATACTCTTGAATCCATTCTGTTGAACCCAAGGGGGGACCATCGAGTTACAGCTGATTTTGTGCAAAATTCTTTTGTGCATCCACAGGACTTCAGGGTAGTAGGTCTTGTGACTGCAGAAAGGACACGGGTAGACAATTAAAGCAGCCTGCAACGACGTATTCAGATTTTTATTGCATGAATTATCCCTTGTTGATTTTTCACTCAAATCGAGTGGGGCTACCTCTTGAACTTCAGCACCTTTTTCTATCAGAGGATGCTCCCTGTTTAAGTCTAGCAAATTTTCTCTAGTGCGACTAGCCTGCACTTCAAGTGACGTTTTCAAGTCCATAACCATATTTGAAGTTGTCTGGCCCATACCCGAAGCAAAGCTAGCAATGCGACTAGGAAACCCTTGGCTGTGGTGAAATGCTGGCATCTTCATGTCTGCAGAACCTTTTAGATCTTGGTATTTCGAAAAGGGCTGCTTGATGACACTCTCCAGGGCTGACACCAGTGCAGGAATCTCTGGTTTAGATTCCCTGGCTTCGTTTTCTCTGGCGTTGCGGCTTCCCAGCTTCGGGAGTTCATCCAAGTGAGATGTTACCATTGGGGTTTCCTCTTCAGAAAAGTTGCTACGGTATGGCTTTTCATCTGAATGGGACAAACAAAAAAACATCATTGTCATTTTATGCAGAAAGGAGCCCAAAAGACAGAGAAAAATTCAACAGTAAGATAGCAGGAGAAAAAGCAAACTTTGGTATTAGTATCGTAATGACATGCTACAGACTAAATGTACTGTATAAGCAAGAAAATCTTGAAATAAGACACAACAGTTCAATTTACTTTTAAAGATGACTGCGAAGCCTGGATAAACTCTCTAATGCTGCATGTTCATGACATTTGGAAGAAAGAACAATTCAATAATATACCCATGTTAAAATTCTGGGACTGCGAGAAAAATAAACAAATATGCAACCATTTAATGCTTTAACAAAAGCAAAGATAATGGAGACAGATAAGACTGACCTAGTTAAAGGTCTGTCAGTGCTTCCATTACAAGCCCCTATTTTCAAAGGGTTTGTAAGTCAGCAATAAAAATTGGCTCCACATGGAAACCAAGCATATAAGCAGGTACAACATACAGAATAAACTGCTCACTTAAGAGGGACTTCTGCAGTGGCCAAGTATAAAAGATGAGTTATGGAGGATGTAAATTTTGAATTTTCCATCCATTAGTTTAAAGCGGATACTTCCTTTTTTTTTTTTTTAACATACTTCAATCTTTGAGTCAAACTTGAGGAAAATTTTATGACCACTGAATCCACTGAGAGATAAGGAATTCAACATTTTTGGCCGTTTAGATTACTGAATTCAAACCCGAATTTCAATTCTTCCCGTTTTCTTCTTCAATTCTCAGGTCTCCAGAGTAAATTTATCTACCTAACACGTGTCCTGGAAGGGGAACATACTGGGCAGTAATTAAAGCCATTTAGGGAGAAAGAAGAGTAGCATTCATTTTGCTGGGAGCCCGCTCTCCCGATGACGAACTTTCAGAGCCGCTGATGAAGCTGTTGAATCCCTCCAAATCAGTTCACAAATCAATTCCACAGAGATTTTCATCACAGCAGTAATGCTTACTGCACTGAATCCATTTAACATGTAACTGAATTGAATCATCTGACAAACTTTCAGTTTCAATTAACATGCAGTTAACGAGCCACTGCCAAGCAAGTGTAAGGAGACCACACTCCCTCCAAAATGTCACCAGCCCAAAGTGATCACCGCATCCGTAGGAGGGGTGAGAACGGGAAAGGACTGAACTGCTCTAGAGCCGCATATCCTCTTGCATCAATTCATAAAAGCAAGCACTTCAGAAAAATGAAGCACTGTTCGTTAGTGCAGCGCAACGCCACGGGCATTATTCTGCACGGTGCAATGGAAGAAGCATTTCTTCAGCTAGAGTTTCACTGCAAATAAAGTCTATTTAGCCTCACCTTCAATTCAAGCAAAAAGTCTTAAGCTTTTATTTAATTCAAGGTAATTAGGTTAAATTAACTGATAGATTTGCAGCCTTGCAGGGCTGAGTGCTCTCTCTAAGATCGTTTTCTTTTCAAATTCCCTAACTGGGTAAATTCGGGGCTGGGGGAGAAGCCCACAGCCCAGGAACTTGTTTTTCCTGTGTTGCAGGGGGCAAGGCTTTGGGAAAGCACATGCCGAGCACTACTAGACAAATTTACAGTTTAAAGCAAAGACACTGCATGCAGCGGTGAAATCTGACACTGCACATCTGTGTTATTTTCAAAGCACATCTGTCAAAGCCCAAAATATTTGTGCTCTTAAATAAGATTTTAAGGCTTCTCTTTACGATCACAAGGAGTGGCTCCTTTGATCGTCGTAGTAAATAATAAAGCAAAGCAAAACCAAATCATTCAGTCGTGGCAGTACTCAGCAGAGACTGAGCCAACCTACAGGCTTACGCTGAGCAGAGCGGGCAGAGGAGGGAGGTGGGGGACCACCACCAGCCCCCCAGGAGGCTCCAGCCACTCCTTGGTCCACCTGCGAAACCGTGATGAAGGGGAGTATCGGCAAATGCCCACAAGTCCCAGGTTGCTCTGCATACCTCAGACACTCTTTGATGCTTTCTGACATGGTCAAAATCTACGTACCACGCTGTTTCAGCAAAGAGGACAAAGTCAAACAGACTGTGAGGTGGCACTGGTTGGGTCTGGGTTTGGTCTTCAGGTCCGGTCTGTTCACTTTAGGTCTGTACTTGGGGAGGGGGGGAGGAGGAATAAGCAATGAGACAGACCACAGTCCCATGTGCCTCAGTGACCACAGGTATAAAGCCTGGGACTGCAAACCTAGAGGTGGCCACAGTCCTTTTAGCCCTATTGCTTTAGTGCAGCCATCAAAGAAAAAGGGATTTTTCAGGTGGAAAATGTAGCACAGAATAGGAAAACGATGAAGGCATTTCTGAGGTGTATCTAGGGCTGCAGTTGCCACAACGCTGAAGGCATATGCTGTCAGTACAATATATGAAAATTTGTAAGGTTATTACAAAACACAGCTTCTAACATCTCTTCGTAGTGTCTTGCTAGATTCAATTCCTCTGATGCCTCACACGAACAGTACTGAACATACTAGGAATAATTTTAAATGCTCAGATCAGGAGCTTCAATAGCAGTATTTGTGTTAATTGCTCAAGTTGCACTTCAAGAAAAAAAAAAAAACAAAACACAACAAAAAACCACAACCCAAAACAAAACCACACCCCTATCCCCCTTCCCCAAGATTTGGACAGACACACTTGTCACCTGCAGGCCAACTCATACTTCTTCACCAGCACAAAGCACAGCCTCAGCTTCTCCCTAGCCCCATCCCGCTCTCCACCAGTGACCCGACAATCCAGATACACGGACACGCAGGCTGAAACGCTGCCACGTGCCATCCTCCCCCTCATGGGTGGTGGTCCAGGCTGGGCTGCAAGCTGGTAGCAGAAGCCAGGGGGAAAGAGGAGATGCAGGCAAGAGCAAGAGGAGATGGTATGAGACCCAATAATATAGGCAGAGCCTTTTTAGAAAAATAGATTAAATTTATTTCTGCCTGCTCCCAGCCGCTTGCCCCAGCTGAAAAGGGGTACTAACAATCCTTTTAAATCACTGGTATAAAATATTGCTCTAACCAGCGCAGTGCAGGCATTACTGTCACCAGAAACTTTCAAGATTTTATTATGGCCAGGTCAAAGCAAAAAGCCATGAATGGGATGCCTTTTGCATGATCTCCAGGGACTATAACTCACATTTCCTATCAAGAGAGTTCTTGGCTAAGCATGCTCTCACTTTTTATCCTACAGTCACTCGCATTGACTCACGTTTGTCTCAATTCCTTTGTTTCTTACCCAAAACAGCCATTTACCCGCTGCACGTAAGAGTGAGAAAGGTCCTTTTACCACATCCCTGAAGAGTTACAGTTTTTCTGTGTCATGGATACCTGGCCAATAGCTGAAGCGGACAAATTTTACAAGGTGCCCAGCTAGGAGATGGCTGCTGATCCCATCTCATGCCTTCAGTTTGTCCACAGCTTCAAATACCGATGGCATTGCAGACCATGGGAGCAAAGCAGGACAGCAGAGAACACTTAACTATATGGGAAGCCACGGTCTAGAAACAGAAACATTCAAGGATTCAACCAGTTCTTCCGAAATATAACTAATTGCCATCACTTAGTTACGTATCTTACGCAGGCCACTAAAACTGACTCCCCTTCTCTTCCCACACGCATCTTCCTCTTCTCTTTCTCTCCCTCACGTGCATAAACGCCACTTGTTTTCTCCCCAGCTCTGTTCCTCCACAAAACCGAATTTCCGAACAGGCCGCACAGCTGTTTTAATTCATGAGGCTTCCTATAAAGTAAACCAGGCTACAAGCCTGAGGACAATGAAACCGTGATTTCTATTCAGAAGAGAAGAACTGGCTAGAAATTGGCCCCTTTTCTGGCTAGCATTACAGCACTAGGAGTTGAAGGGAAAGGAGCAGATGTGATGTGTTTGACTTTTAGTAAACATTTGATAGTGATTTGCACTTTGAGATGAATGCTGTGGCTCGATTGGAAAACCAGCTGCAAATAAATCATGATAAAAGCAAAAGGATAACATTCGAAGAAGGTGCAATATTGCAAAGACCTGTATTAGGTCCTATTTCACTTGGTATTTTCTTTAATGATCCAGAAGAGACTCTAGACAGCATGCTAACTTACATCACCAGGAAATATCACATTTGGAGGAGCTGCAAAGATATCGGGGACAAGGAAATAATGCATAGGGACTTAGAGAGAATAGAAATGCAGTCTGAAAATAATCAAATGAGATTCATTCGGGAAAAAAAGCAGGCTAAGACAAGTGAAGGGAAATGATCCAAAAAAACCCATGCAGTGGGAGGGCGAAATCTGGGAAGCAACAATGTTGAAAATAACAGATGTTACAAAAGACAGAAAGTTAAATATGAGTGTACTAGGTAAGGTTCTTCAGCTTAGCTTTCACAAGTAAAAGTACACATTATAAAAAGGCTCTGAAGAGGACACTTACATGATGGCCATACTGGTCGCATTTTATATATATACAAAAAACCAAAAATATATATGCCATAGTAATGGGCACTACATAAAGCCCACACTAAGCCCAATACAATGGGACAAGGCAGGGGAAAAAAGGCAAAAAAGCATGTTTGCAGCAGAAAATCGAGGTCTTTTATCCTGCGAAAGGAAGGTCCAACAAAAATACTCCATGCCCCCTGAATATCTGTTCAGATCTGCAAATACGGACAAGTCAGAAGGAGTTCTGCAACAAAAAAGCAACAAACCAGAAAATAAAGATGAAGAGTTAAGTGTCCCTCACATGGGTGAGGAAAGATGGGAGGGTGACAGGGCAACGCCTGCAGCCTCCCCAGGAGCACCAAGCTCCAAAAGAGAGAATTATGTCATCCCAAGGACCAGAGTCTATCACAACAATCAGGTATAACTGCACACAGGAAAACTCAACATGAACAGAAAACAAACAAACAAACAAAAAACAACAACCAACAATTATGTGTATCTGCAGCTTGCAGAATAAATGTCAAAGGAAGAGGTGGAACACTGCTTGGACTGTAAAACTT